CAAGTAAAATTTGTGAAAGAATTTTTCTCAACAATAAATACATAATTTCCCAATTAGTTAAAGAATCCGTTTGCAAACAAGAAATCAAATTTGAAGAATTGAAGTATTCTGAACACCTTAAATATTGTAATATTCAAAGAAGAAATAAAATGATGGGTAAACTCTAATTGTAGTTCGGATTCGATGATTTCTTCATTACAAATCCGATCGGTGTTAAGAATGTAAATCATATGTATATGGCATTGTATCTATGTCGAAATAAAGATCAACTGTCGTTGAGAAACACGTGGCTGATCCATCTCTGTTGATGTAGACTCTTCTGTTCTGACGTTCGTAGACATTCGGGTCATCACATGAACCAAACATACCATAATGAGGAAAACAGTAGTAGATGCTAGTACTACCTGTTGTACCGAGTAATGACCAATTAAAAGCACCATTCTTGCTGACAATAGTTCCTTCAGTGTCGGTGTTACTATCGCCCATATCGATAAAGGGATGGTAATACGATTGACCACCCGACACTTCCATATGACAATAATCTCCAATAATTCGAATTGTAGCTTCATGATCATTGCCACTAACTCCAACATTCCCGTTCCGCATTCTATGTCGTACCAAGAATGTCGGCCCAGTAACCATTTCACATAGTTGATCTTTAGTGAGATGATAGTCGACATGGGACAACAAGCAATAAGGTAATTCATAGCGCTTTGGACAACATTCGCCAGGTCTGTTGCACCCCATATGTGGTTGGTATGCATGGAGTGATGGTTCGGCTTGTCCCCACTGCTGCCTTTCACTGAATCGGTTTCCTGCGGCTGCTCTTTCCCAATCTTTTCCTTCGAATGGATATCTGCAGACATGCATTCTTCCTCGGAACTCCGGGAATCTGATCCTGTTTGCTCCTGGTTGTCGGAACTGGGTGTCTGCTGGTATGCATTCTTCGATAACAAACCGTTCGCACTCTCGGCGCTCTGCTGCAAGAATTTTGTGGTTGCCAGCAGTATATCGCGGAGGTTGGCGTCTAGCAATGAATCTAGCACATTTTTCCCGTACAATTTGGACCAGGTTAGAATTTTGGGGCTGGACTTGAACGACATATCGGATTGGGTGTAATATCCGGAGATATAGCCATGCGCTGATGTAATAAAAGATGACATAGTACCAGATAAAACGGAAACCTGCTTCGAAAAGGATTGCGTGTGACATTGTAATCCTTGCAACGACGAACACGATGCGTAAACGAAGGGTGGTAACAGAAAATACTGTTTGTAACTGTCCACAGAACAAATGGAATCCGCAATGTAGGCATAGTGGCAAGATGGACTCTCCGATTGTCCGATCCGCAAACAATAAGCATTGTCGCAGTACAAATAATGCGGCCCAGAAATGGTCCAGGAATATATAACGACCGATAGTGTATAACATATTAGTTGGAAAATCATGTTATTTGCCGGAATGATCTTGTGTGACGATAGATGTTTGTCTGGAGTTCAAGTATGCTTCTTTGTTAACTGAAGCTATCTTGTACAAATGTCAGCAGAAACAATTTTTGTCAAATGGCGATATATTCCGGTTAGAAAACATGTGGGATTTGGGTTGGGTAGCACCTTTGTACGGGTTATTGTTGAAACTGGACCAGATGTTGTGGCAAGAAAGTGTGGATGAATTCATTGACGAAATGATATTCCAAAGGCGTGGGGAACATCCAATTTTTAATTTTCTCTTTCGCCAGGCGTTGGTTAAGGAAAGAAGATTTAGTAGATTCGATGAACCAATGAGCGATCCGCCTTCTGCAGAAGACCGCAGATGGTGGCAACGTATTAGAGAATGGATTCGCGTGTTTCAGAGACAGAATGAAGAGCCACAAGAACAAGGACCAGTAGAAGATGCGGTAACGGTATTACAACACCGCAGAATAAGAGGGATAGATTGGTTTTTAGTAAGTGAACAGCAGGGACACCGCATAACGATCACTAATGGCCAGAGAATATTGTTGAACCGGTTATATACCGTAGAAGATATGGGTCTGGAAACATTCAATGGATTTTGCAATGATTTTAACACCACCAATGTGGAAGCACCGGTGTTTATTAACCGTATGTTGCGTGTGGGTCATAATGACGATCCGCCCCCTCCTTATTCCGCCACATGACGATAGATGTAATTAAAACGTTGACGGATATTGCGATAAGCCAATCACAAGCAAGTAAACAAATTGTACGAAAACATCTTTTGGCAAGAACGCAATTGTAAACTGGTATATAAGTCAAAGTAAAACTTAGGTTAAGCATGGTAGTCCATCAGAAGCCATCACGTTAAGATGGTAGTCCATCAGAAGCCATCACGTTAATATGGCAGTTCCACAGAAGTCATCACGTAAACATGGCAGTCGAACAGAAGTCATCACGTTAACATCATTGTTAATATCTTTGTAACATCGAATAGTAATATTGAATACTATCAAGTCATTATCTCGATTATGTTTTGTAATTTTTATTATTTACCATCATCAAACATCTTGTAATTTTAGTTTTGTGATACTTACAATTAGAATAAAATCTTTAATTAGTTCGTTTATTATTAATTGTTTCTCCCTGTTAACTTCGAATGCTGCTTACCGGAATACTGTGTTATTTGGAACACACAGGAAACCGATTAACAGTTGAGGTTAGAATTGCCGATAGTCAACGCCTCGAAATAGCTGCCGACATTTCAGTATCCTGAGTCTAATGAAACTGGCTTAGGGAAAGTGTACGAATACTGACGTACANTTACCATCATCAAACATCTTGTAATTTTAGTTTTGTGATACTTACAATTAGAATAAAATCTTTAATTAGTTCGTTTATTATTAATTGTTTCTCCCTGTTAACTTCGAATGCTGCTTACCGGAATACTGTGTTATTTGGAACACACAGGAAACCGATTAACAGTTGAGGTTAGAATTGCCGATAGTCAACGCCTCGAAATAGCTGCCGACATTTCAGTATCCTGAGTCTAATGAAACTGG